GGTGAAAGTTTTCCTGCAGGTGCAGTGGTAATACAGCACACCTGGGGCAGGAGACAAAGGCGGGCCTCACTCCAGCAGAGCACTTTCTGCCCTTTGCCTTTTGCCTTTCAGCACACTGACTGGGATTCTCTGTTGTTCTATGTAGTTTAGTGAATTAGGCCCCTAAGGGATATAGAGGAGCTGCCATGGGCAGGCAGGGAGAGAAATGCAGGGCATAGGTACATTTCATGGGGGGAGGGAGGGAAGCCTGGTAGAGATAAGACGTATGGCTATGAGGACTCCCAGGACAGGGGGCTTTTGCTGAAAGGAAGAGAGGACTGGGAAGGCAAGTCTGTATCGCTTCACCTCGCAGGCCAGCTTTGTGTCCCCCTCAGATTAAATAAAGGGTGAGCCAAGTGGGGTCAAGTGAGGCCCGTGGGTCTTGTGTCCTCGTGCTGGGCACTTGCACAGAACACCATTCATTGCTTCCTTCAGCCCATATGTGCCTCCCTCTGTGCCCACCAAGTCCGCACTTCCCATTTCCAATGCTCCCCACGTGGGCCCCTTGCTCGATAACAGTGCAACAGCCACCCAGCTGGTCCCGTCCCGCTCCAGCCCGCCCTCCTCATGGCTGCTCCAGTTACCTCTCAAAAACCCAGACCTCTTGGCCTGCCAAACCCAGCTAGAAATCCTTGAGCAGCCTTCTAGCGCCCAACACCAACCCATCACATCCTGCTCCCTGCCAAACCTCCAGGCTCACTTCCTGCCAGTCTTGGCCACACTCAACTCCTCGACTTTCCCAAACATGCAAGGTTTTTCAGGTCTCTGAGCCTTTGCATTGCTTTCTGCATAGAATGCCCTTTTCCTCCCCACCCACCTTTGTCCACCCGCTAAATTCTCCAAGACTCAGTGCAATCATCACCTCCTCAGCTCATCAGTGGATGAGAGCAATCATGGGAGGAGCTTGGCTACCAGGCTCTCAAAGCAGTGGGAAGACTGATGGCAAAGAACACAACCTACTCAGATTAAAAGCAAGGTCTTGGAGGTGTTGGCTAGTGTCCCCGAGGACCCTGCCGGGAGAGCCTGTCCTGGAGAAGGAGTGGAAGGAGGGGGTGAGAACGGTGGCTCCTCACGTCACCTAACTTTGCTCTGTTTCCCCTATCAATCTTCTGTTGTAATACAAGGCACATTGTTGATACTCTTGTTACACGTCTATTTTCTCTTTAGACTCCGAGTCCTTTATAATCATCTTTTTATTCCCAGAATCTAGTTTAGAACCTGGTACATAGGAGGCACACAGAAACATTTTTAAACAAACGACTGTACCTTGAACTTGGATGTGTCGTTACCAGAATACCTTTTTCTCCACAAATTTGTACTATCTCCAATTTGTTCTGGTTCATTAATTTGCTGTTTGAGCATCAAAGGTTATTGAGCACCTACACTGTGCCGGGCATTTTCTAGGCACTGGAGGACTGTAGGGGTCAAAAGAGATAAGGGTTCCATGCCCTGGTTGCCAGTGCAACGTCCCACCTCCACCCTACAAGACCACGTCTTTCTTTGTTGGTCAGTTAGCACTGGTGGAATCAATCAATGCTCCTGGCTTCCATAGTGTCTGGGACGTGGTCAGCGGTCACATAGGCTTCACTGTGTGCCAGCATCACGAGAGGAGCAGAAGGCTGGGCTTTGCCTTCAAATAGCTCACAACCTCACTGGAGAGACAAATTGGTTGTTTCTGGGATCATTGGAAACCCAGTCAGGGGACACCTGGTGTTGTCAATATCACAGCCTCTGGGAATTCACTGGGTCTGCCAGTTCTCTTGACCAAGTGTGGCTTCCCAATTATTTTCCAGATTTATAAATATGGTATTTTCTGTTTTTATAAATTCCAACTTGACCATAAGCTCCTCAAAAAAAAGGGACATCATGGCATCACGTCTAGTAGGTGGCCAGGTCCCCACTGGTACAGGCTGAGGCATGAATGAATGAGTGAATGAATGATCATCACCACTGACAGGCATGCATCACTGGACACCTTTGTGAAAAACAGCCAAGAAACCCTGTGTGAATGGGTTCTCCAGTTTGGTAGGGACTGGACAGGGAAGGAGGGCTCGCTCCTTACATAGTGCCTCTCTTCTGCTAAATGTTACCCACAGATATCTGAGTATTTTCTACAAAAAAACACGGAGACTCAAGTCCAGCAGTATGAATTTGCCCAAAGCCCTTGCCTTCCTTCTTCCATTTGTGGACCTCTTAACTGGTTATTTGTACCGGTGCTTGCTCGGTGGTTTAGTGGGTGAGATCTATTTCAGGGTTTCTCATTAAATGTAAGCTGTGGTGAGAGAAGAATGTTGCCCCGTTCTTTCTGCTTCCTTCCTGTCCTGGTTCCCAGCTGGCTTCTGGTATCCCTTCCTCTTCCTCTAGGATAGTTTTACCAGAAGGTTCCTCAGAGCCAGTGCTCTGGAGCCTGGGTTTCCATCCATTGGGTTGCACTGTTTGTCGTGTGCTTTGCTGTCTTGAGGGCTAACCCTGCTTGCATTAGCTTGCAGAAGTGGCAGCCATCTGTAACCTATATCAACACTGGGGTGCTTTGAAGTTCAATGTGCAATAAAGGGTTCATTAAAAAGATGTGGAATCATGAAAATGAGGTTACAGAAATGTTAACAAAGGATCATTTCCTGCTTCCTGTACTATTATTTTTTCTTTTTTTAGTGTATTTCTCTGAGGAATTTATGTCACCATTAAAACTACGGAAGAGTTAAAGGAAGGACAGGCCAGGTCAAAAAGAGGGTGAGATTCCTGAGGAGATAGCTTGGCAAAGACCCAGCCTGTTTTCTTAATTGAGAGCTTAGGGTGGGAGAACTTAAGCAGAAGAAGAAGAAGGAAAAAAAAAGGTAGAGACAAATCTAGAACTGTTATGACTAATGGTTTGAACGCAGCCTTTTAGTTTGGGTTGACTCCAAATGGATCGCAACAGCCTCTAATCATGCAAGGCCTGCGGCAATGTAAGCTGTAAGCGCCATTTGGAATCACTGAATTCCAGCCTCCAGGCAATGGCCACAGCAGGTGCCTCTTATCTACTTGAGGAGGAGGAGGAGGAGGAGGAGGAGGAGGAGGAAGAGGGGGAGGAGGATTAGAGAGAGAGAGAGAGAGAGAGAGAAGTGAAAAGAAAGGGAGGTTCATGGGCCAGGGTGGCAGAGTGTCACTCAGACTGTCTCATGGTAGCTTGTTCACTGCCACACTGGCTTGCTTTCCAGTCATGACCTTCTGACATGAACCAAAGTCAAGTTCCAAGTCTCAAGGGGTTCTGGGAACCCAAAACACTAAAAGTCTGTCAGCCCCTGGCATGACCTTAAGGTAAAGGAGGGGACCTGGACTGCCAGTGCTCTCTCCTGGCCCCACCACAGAGAAGCGGTTGACCAAGAGGGAAGTCCCCTGGGGCGCAGAGTTCTGGCCTGACAACAATCAAGTCACTTCAGAGGTCGACCTGTCTGCATCCCGCATTTTGGTTGACTTGGCTTAGGTCAGGCTCCAGTTAGTAGCAGACCCAGGCTTCTGCCTCCAATCTCGAAGCCTCCTGGAGGGCCCTGCTTCTCTTGTTAAAGGAAGGGCAGCCCCAGATGGCCATTCCCGGTCACTTCTCTAATGACAAAGGGTTGGCATCCACACAGATGCGGGAATAACGTACCTTGGGATCCAAAGCCAGAAACATAGCTCTCCTGTGGGGGGAGGTCCCTGTTTCTCACGGGCCCTCGTGCTTGGGCAGTGGGCGTGCCCACACATGATGCGCACCCAGCCCCAGCAGCCTTGCTGGCCTCTATTTTCGGGGCAAAAATCCCTAGTGACTCACTCGCCTAGGTGACCATTTAATGACCATTTAGTTACTACTCATGTTTAATAGTAAGCAATCATGTGATTATCAATTACTTTTCAGCCAGAGGACTGGACATACACTTAGCAGCCATTACGTCTCAGTCCTCACGATGACAGTGCTGTGTCCTCCCGGGTGACGGTGAGGACTTCAACAGATCGCACATCTAATAAACAACACTGCAAGGGTTGGGGGCCTGCTGCTGGAGGGGCCGGGATGGAGCCAGACTTACCCGCTCTCTCCCAACCCGGCTGTAGTTGAGTCTCATGAGTTCCGCAAACCTCTGCTCATAGAGGTGGAGCAGCAGCACCAGGTACAAGCCGGAGTTCATCAGCTCATTTTGCAGCTACATTGGAAAAGAAAGTTCTTAAGTTCATCTATAAAATATTCATGGAGGGTAACAAGGCCAAGAGGTGACAAGAAATGGGACAAGAGCCCAGCTGGTGGCTTAGTAGTTGAGCATTGACCTATGAACCCGGAGGTCATGGTTCATTCCCAGTCAGGGCACGTGCCCGGGTTGCAGGCTGAAATCAATAAAAAAAGAAAATGTGTATTTTAAAAAGGGGCCAGAGCCTACGCCCCAAGGCCAGGCCTGCCCTCGGGGACCAGAGAACAGAGCAGGAGGGGGTCCTGGCTAGAGGGCAGGCAGCCATGGGGGAATTCTTAACCATTTAGTGAGGCTGTTCTGGAGAAGCTCCAGTCTCCAGGCTATGACATGGGGCAAGGCTTCTGTGATGGTCCTTCAAGGACGGGAGGGAGTTTGGAAGGTGGTTATGAGGGGTATTAAGGGCCGTTCGGAGGCGCTGAATGCCAGCAGAGACATAGGGATGAAGAGAGCAGTGTGTGTGTTGGCCCAAGTTCCCTACTCACTGGTGTGGCTGGAGTATTTGTGGCAGGTGTTTGTTTTAGATTTAAAAAAAAAAATTGGCATGGGCTGGGGAGATGGTGAGGTGGGACCATATTAGGCAGAAGTGAGGAGTATGGATGTTGCTGTGGCCTCTGAGAAGAGGTGATGTTTGTCTTAGGAAGGCAGACTTCTGTGGGAGAATTTGGGGCACAGGTGCCATGGCAGGGATACTTTATTTTCCTAGATCCCTCATTTGCCCAGAGAAAGGGCACAGGGCTTGTTTTTGTTTATTCCCCCCCACCAATTTATTTTTTTTATTTATTTAAAAAATATATTCTTGTTGATTTCAGAGAGGAAGGGAGAGGGAGAGAAAGATAGAAACGTCAATGATGTGAGAGAATCATTGCTCGGCTGCCTCCTGCATGCCCCCCACTGGGGATCGAGCCTGCAACCTGGGCATGTGCCCTTGACCAGAATCAAACCCCGGACCCTTCAGTCCACAGGCCAACGGCTCTATCCACTGAGCCAAACCGGCTAGGGCAGGCCTTGGTTCTTTATGTTACTATCTTTACTTAATGATCTCACCTAAGCCCCCCTTACCCCCCATCCAGGCTCATCTATTACCACTTAATCCCCAGAGAGCGTGTGCCTGGCAGGGTCTCAGATGGCACTGTGAACCCCAGGGCCTTTGCACGTGCCCTCTCCTGGTTTGGGCTGTTGGCTTGTTTTTGTGCCTCTGTTCTGAATGTCCCCTCTCCACCTTTTTGCCGGGCCATGCCCAAAACTTCTCTTATTGCTGTCACAATGTCACAATGTCACTTCCTTACAGGAGCCTTCCCAACAATTGTTTCAGCCTTCCCTTTACTCCCCGACTCCTAAGCATTTGTCTTCATTTTGTACACTGCATCTAACACTTGTTCATGTTTTCGCCTTTTCTTGGTGGGTGGGTTGTGTTTTACTTTTCTCACTGGTGCTTAGAACATAGGGAGGTACATGGGGCGGGCCTGGCCCCCTGGCTGACCATGGCTCTTCTGTCCTCAGCTCCTTTGGTGGTCTGTGTGGCAAGGCCTCGCCCTGTGGACGCTTCATTGACCTTCAATAAATTAGTGGCATTAGCAAGGACTCCTCCCCTCCGCCCCTTTAATCCCCCATCTGTCCTCATGCCAAATCCCCAGGGGCGGGGCCTGGGGACTGAGCCAGACGGTGCTCAGGAAGCCCCAGGGCGGCTCGGCTCCCAGCAGAGGGCGTGGCCCTTTGCATCGCCCTTGGGAAAGGTCCGAACTCTGACCGTGTTCCCAGGATAACGGCAGCCGGTCTGCCACAGGGGCCACCCCGGTGCCTCTTCCTTGCTCCCGCAGCAGCAGCAGCAGCCACATTCCCATCCCATCAAGGGCCGCTCGGGAAGCTGGCACAGAACACACCTCTTCCAGGACTAAACAGCTGCCAGGAAAGATGCCCAAGCTGGGCCAGGACTGGTGCGTTCTTCCTCCGGAATGGGGCCAACTCCGGATCTTGGGGATCACTGGCCCCAAGGTCACCGCTCAAGGCCCCTCCGCCGCCCTACAGACTCGTCTTCAAAGGCTCTGCCACTGTCCTTGGCAGTCGGCCTCCTATTTTTAGCCTTTCGTCGCGTTCTCCTGCGCTCTTCTGACCTTGGCCGGGAGTAGGCAGAGGGGAAGTTGCTTGTTTTCACCCTTTTCTGCTTTCATTGCCTCCTCCCACTTCCCCGGGAGGGGGTGCCTCCTTTGTGTCTGTCTGCCAGCCACCTTCTCTGGGAAGCCTTCTTAGCCTGCCCCTCCTCCTCTTCAGTGCAAACCGCGCCTTGTCCTGTTTGCTTTTCCACGGGTGGTGGCCTCCTGCGAGCTGCCGCTCTGCCTCCTGCACTGTCATCGCCGGTAAGCCTCTTACGCTCAGAGACACTCCGATGCATAATGGCAAATCAATCAGCTCGAAAATGGCTTGGAACGATCAGGTTTGTCAAAGCATTCAGGGAAATCATTTACTCTTTATGACTCAATAAGGCCCGGAGGCATGCAGATGGGAAAATATCCACTAATGTTTTCTGCAGATAATTTGAAAAGTCACTTCTAGCAGATTGTGTCTCCTCGCTGGTCTGTGGGAGGGAACCTGTCACGCGGCGTCATGAATCTCACTGGCCAGGCTGCTTTGTGTGGCCCTTTGCGGAGCTTGTGATGCTGGACCAAGGGGCTGGGCCGGCCAACCCGAGCAGGGAGTCCTCCTTCATCCCCAGCCACAAGTGGGAGGGGTTGGTCATCACAGAGAGCTCTGCGGTGTTTGTTCCCAAGGGCGAAGGAGCTAGGTTTCGGAGTGTTATTTATTGGGCTACTCCTGACCCACCCCTCCCCGGACCCAAACGCATTGCACTTTGATGCCCTCGTGCCCTCGTGCAGTGTGGGGACGGGTGGGAGGCGGGGGTGGGGAGCCCGGAAAGGCAGAAGCCTGTGAGGCAGGCGACAGGAGCTCTGGAGTGCTCAGCCTCCTCCTGCCAGATGTTTTTCTTTCTTCTCTCCTGCCTCCTCCCCCGCTTCATTTTGTTAATATTCATTTCGACCAAGAGATTTGCCACCGATGGAAAGTCTCCATTTAATCCACTTCAGGAAGCGGACCGCCTGGCTGCACGTTCTCTCCAGTCTTCAAATATGTTCAAGAGATGCTCCCAAGTGTGAGGGTGATTAGGTGCCTGCGTGTGTCCAAGGACATCTGCCCGCGGCTGCAATGGCTCGAGCCCAGGCCTGCGCTCCAGAGCAACGCCAGCCAGAGCCCCGCCGAGACCGTCCTGCGCTGCAGGGCCCAGATGGCAGGGGCGTCTCCATCGCACAGTGGGCACAGCCCGGAGCGGGCAGCCCGGGGCCGTCAAGGGCTACGACTTGAACGAAGAGTTTAAGCTGTGCACGACCGAAGTGACTCCCCATTTATAAAAGGGGAGCAGTCACCACTGCTCTGCCTGCTTCCCCAGGGCATGATGGCAGAATGAGCTAATCCTGGTGGGCACAGTATTTCGCAAAGCAAAAGTGTCCTGCGAGAGGGGAGAGTGAAGACAGGATTCAGGGCAAGGACCCCATGTGCCTTGTTGGCTCCTGTGCTTCGAGTGCCTGGCCCAGTGCCTGCTCAATACATACATGTACATGTGAAAGAGTGAGAAAAGACGTATCATTCTGGACCAGACAGCGGCCCATTCAGCCATGACTTTTGACCCTGGTAGCTCTGACATTCACATGAATCAGAATTACTGAGAGAATCTTCTAAAACAAGGTGGCTGTGTACTAACCCCCCCCCCCCCCCCCCCCCCCCCCC